AAAAGTGCTTCCGGTGAGCTTTCTACCCGGAAAAGCTCACCGGAAGCGCTGGCGCCGCCATCTTTTTTTGATGAAAAAGTGCTTCCGGTGAGCTTTCTACCCGGAAAAGCTCACCGGAAGCGCTGGCGCCGCCATCTTTTTTTGATGAAAAAGTGCTTCCGGTGAGCTTTCTACCCGGAAAAACTCACCGGAAGCACTTTTTTACCAAAAAAAGATGGCGGCGCCCAGCAACCAGCGGCCCGGTAAGACTTGTTCCGCGGACCGGTACCGGTCCGCGGACCGGCGGTTGGGGACCCCTGATCTACATAATCTGTTCCACAGCTTTGTAAAGCAGGCCAATATTGCTTTCCCCAATTATACATAAACTGAGAAGTTTTACATCTTTCAATCTATTTGAATTAAATATTTTCTCTTATACAAGAATGTTTCATGTATTTCTGGAGGAAAAATATTGTTTCAGAATATATTTGCAGTTTAGATATATCTTTAAACTTTCTTGTTTTCCACTACATTAATAGCACACAACAAGCTATGATGAAGGACTTGATTATTCACCACTTTGTTTACAACAGATTGGATGTCTTGGGTATAATCTTCCCTTAGTTTATCAGGGAAGTAATTTGCATCCTGGCTGTAGGTAATGAAAAATGTACAGAATACTTTAACATCTTCTTCTTGGAGTCCCAATATCTCCAATGCCGATTCCCATGCTGACTTAATTCTTTTGTTTTTATCTTTCCTCCTCAGAACAGATGATAGTGTAGGCAATACTCTGGCGAGATCAGGAATGCTTTCTACCACTTGAGAATGTAGGCACTGAATAGTTTCACAGATATAGCTATAGAAAAGGTTTATCTCCACAGAATTAAATCTGCAAAAAGATGTTTAAAAAAATGATTTACCTTTACCATTTATATCAATAAGCCCACAAATTATTTCCATTTCAAAGTAAGCACCATTTAGATGAAAATTACTTCCAGATGTGTCTTTAGGGTTGCAGCCTAAAGCTGTAATATTTATATTTAATAAGTTCTATCAAAGTGGAATTTAACCACATATCTACAGTTCTATTAATTCAATATAATTCCCAACATTTAAAGTAATATTTATTTAAAATAGGCATGTAAAATTCAATTTTCTTTTCAAGATTTGGGTAATGCTCCATAACTAAGCTGTTTGGAATAAACATTTCATAATGGAAACAAAGTTGTTGATGTTTTTAAGCCATTCTGTTAAGTCTTAAAGCTAGCATTATTCACACCCTTGTGTATTCTAGATGTTTTAGATTACAACTCTGAGAATTTCCACTCACTATGAGAAGTCCCAGATGCCAACCATGCTTCCAAGAGAGTTTGAAGTTAGTGCAGCATATTGGAAGGGCACAAAGTTGGGAAAAGGTACTTAAAATAATAATCTATTCATTTGTTAATAGTCTATTAACTGTTATTGTTAGTTACATGTTTGTTAATCCAAAAGAACATTTGTGATACCATTACCAGACAGCCATTATATTAGTCCAAAGTTTTTATTAGTAACCAATGTTTTCTTTTTTCTTACTTGTCTTCTAGCAGTGATGTCCACATCTCATCTTGCTCTAGAACCATATTCCAAAAGTAAAATTTCTCTGATAATTTCTGAATGCCAGAATCTAATACAATATATTGTGACTTTATAGTTTGCAGCTTATTCTCAGTTCTGGTAAGATTCAAAAGCCAAAGGAAATTAGAATCAAGACCTGCCCATTGTAAAGAATGTAATTCAAGTTTGACCTAAAGAGCTCTTTTATAATAGATGATTTATACTTGATAGACTGCTATATGAGTTTGGAACTTAGATTCTTAAGCTTCTATCCATAATGGTCTATATATGATGTTGTTATAACGCTGCATTTTACTTGCAATCTTTTCCCCATGTAGAACCAACAATCTATTTTACTTCATTGTTTCTTTTGGATTTTTTTTAAAAAATATACATATAAGGAAATCTTTCTGAAAATTTTAGTAACTCTTTGGGAAAGTCAATTTCTTTTCAGCTTTATGTAGTAAAATGATATCTTGGTACATTTATTTTCCTAAAATATAGTAAATACAATTTAATCCATATTGATCGACCAGCTGTATAAACATATAGTTTATAACTAAATCACAAGCCAGTCAATTCTTTTTCTCCAGTGTTCATTATAAAAATAACTATTCTACTCTATAGAATTGCCACAATGTACAAACAGATCATGCAATCATTTCAGTTATGTATAATGTCCCATGTTTAACATTGCTGTCCCAAAATGCTAAATTACTGAGCAGCTATTTTTAAAAATCCTTCTCCAGAATAAAGATGAAACAAGTGAAATGCTGCTAATTAGTTTATGTTTTCAATTATTTTGGTATTCCTGAAGAAATAAAACAATGCATAATAATAGAAAGATTCAGTTCTATTTTAAAATAGGCATTTTTCATCATCCATCCTGGTCCCTGATCCTTTGTAAGTCACCACTTTTTAAAAAAAGAATAATTTCAAGTACAAAATTACATTTCTTTTATCTGAGACATTATGGAGATTTACGAAGCAGAACAGGTCAGTGGAATAATATTCAGAAGAGATATTTAAGATATGAAATAAGCAGTTCCAAGACCCTTCCCAAACCTTTCCAGAAAAAGTCAACTCCCCCCCTCCCCCTTGCGACCTGTTTAATGTCTTGTTCAGGACACACAGAGATAAAGACTCTTTGGCCATCTTCAGGAATAAGGGACGTATGTTTCAACTGTCTCTTGACTTCTGTTTTGCAACAGACAGCAGTGATATACCCAGTAATCCAACTGGTGCTGAAGGTCAGTTTTCTCTTAAAGCTTTTTATAGCTAGGAAATCCAAATATAGAATATTAACACATACTGTACTCACAAGCACATTGTTTATTAAACTACAGCATGGTAATTAGAGTATATTTTTCCTTCTTAGTTTCAAGCAAACATACATTAAGTCTAGAAACATCATATGGATCCATGAAAGGAAATCATAATGAATTCTATGAATTGGCTCATGTCACATATAGGATTGCTGTAATTAACCATTAATTTTAGATTCATATCAATTTATAATATAGTAAATTTCTAGTGCTTTGAAACTTTTGGCAGCGCAGAAGTTGCTGAATTGCAAACTGCACCAATACTCATTTAGTGGTATGCTGAGTTCAGGGTTCTTGTTCCAACCAAAATCTTCTTTTTAATCAAGATGTTATCAATGGTGCTAAACAGGCTCTTTTTAGGCTATTTTGTAATATTGTATTCAGATCTAACGAATCTGGATCTAGATCTTAACAGTGGTGCTTAAATTTTTTTGTATCCTTTGAATTTTCAATATTCCTTCATAAATATCACCTAAAATTGTTTTTCGTACAAGCCCTAAAACTAGATAAAGAGCATCCAATTAAACAAATGAGTCACTTGTTTCATAGGCCTCATCCAATACTTATAGTGTAAGTCCAACCTGCCTGCAAAAAATCCAGAAACTCAAACATTGCTGGACTCAATTTCCAGCATAAGCTAAGAGTAAGGGACTCTGAAAGATGTAGCTCAGCAGTACTTGAAAGTCACTCTATATCCATGTAAAACATGCTCTAGTAGGTGGAAAAACAATACAATACAAAAATAATAATTATAAATGGAGGCATCTTTGATATTTAGTATTATACCTTTTATTTCTAGTATTGTATTGTATTCACTGATTTCATTGGTCCCCTGCTTTAAATAATACAAATGTTTACTTGTTGGTAGAGGAATCAGATAACCAAGCTATGTTCCCAGGAATAGGCAAACGGAATCCTACCCTGCTACACCACATTACAAAATTTGCTAAGGTTTCCATTAGAATATATTTTCAAAGGTTTTTTTCATTATGTATTTTTCCTTCTTTATTATTTGTTCATTTATCAGTTTGTACAGATGACTTTAATTCTTACCATTGTATATGTTCTAAGCATTTATGAGCAGGGGAAACAACCATTTCTTAGACGCAGGAAATGTTTAAAATAAAACAGCTAAAGTCTTCCTTAAAATTATCATGTGATAGTTAATATTTATTTTCACATGTACTATTTAAAGCACATGCTAGTTTTCGGGGCTATGTCCTAAAAAAATACCTTACAAAAGGTTAATTTCTTATGGATGGATGGATGTATAGTTCGTCCCACACAGAGCAAGACATTCATGCTGGATTTCACATTTTTATCCTTCCGAAGGACCTGGGATAGGCAGATGTGGATGTTTTATGCTGTTAGAGGTATCATCACAGAATGTAAGCTGTTCCAAGTAGAGCTGCTTTTTGCAATTGACTGATGGCGAATTTGTCAATACCAATCAGGTTCAAGTGATGCTCCAGTTGTTTTGGGATTGCACCAATGGCATCTACGACAATTGGGATGTGTGTGTGTGTGTGTGTGTGGTGTGTAATTGGATTATTTTAAATAAAATATAGTTTTCTACTTTATAAATTATTTAAGAAAAAATACACTTCATTTTCATTGTTTTTCTTCAAACAATAACAATTCCCCATCTATACCAGAGATATAAAGTTGAACATTAATGATCTTGAATAACCTGATGTCATCTATTAGTACAGCAAATGAAATGTCAGATCCCATATACCGGACTTTTTGATAAAAACAACTGGTCAGCAATTAAAAGAGTCAGGTTCCATGAATACTGCAATAGAAGCCTTATTCTGGACTGAACAACCTACAATTGCCTGAATTTGCTGCTGATCCTCCAAAACACTAATGGGAGATATTTACAAAACTTGTTCAACTACTTCAAGCCATTTATCACCTCAGTTTTTATTTCTTAACCATAAGAATGCAGAGAAGAGTAAAAAGATGAGTAGGGACCTGGAGGATAAAACATATGAAGAACGGTTGCAGGAATTGGGTACGACTACTTTAGTGAAAAGAAAGACTAGGGATCAATCACATTATAGCAATGTTTCTTATCTGAGAGACTGCCACAAAGAGTGGGGTCGGCCTATTTTCCAAAGCACCAGAAGGCAAGACAAGAAACATGGATGGAAACTAATCAAGGAGAGAAGCAATCTAGAACTTGGGAGAAAATTCCTAACAGTGAGAACAATTAACCAATAGAACTGCTTTCCTTCAGAAGTAGTGCGTGTTTCAACCCAAGAGGTTTTTAAGAAGAGACTGGACAGTCACTTGTTTGGAATGGTATAAGGTCTCCTGCTTGAGCAGGGGCTTGGACTAGAAGACATCCGAAGTCCCTTCCAACTTTGTTATTCTGTTATTTTAAAAATCTATTTCTGACCGTAGAATTTATAAGAATATACATTAAAACAGACAAGTCTTTATTTTTCTTGTGTTTTAAAACCCAGTTCTTTATTCACACACACACATAAAACTTTTACTGCAAGCTTACCAGTAAAGTCACACCAATTTGTTATTCCAAAAGTGGTACTATATATGAACTACCAAACTAATTTTTAGCAGCATGTAGAATTGGTTTATTTATGGGAGGTAGTAGGAATAATAGCATCAGAAAATTAGTAGATTCAAAATACTGTACCAGAGACTGACTGCTTACTTAATATATATGAAGGGTTCAAGAAATAGGATACACGGATATATCACTACTTTGGTCAGCAACCAATATTTTCTTAGAACCATTAATTGACATATATGAAACCCAGTTCACTTTCTCTCCATGTTCAATGGTCAATTTGGGTGAAATAGACAGACATTCATTTGTGTATTCTGGGTCCATTTTGTTAGCTTTCTTGATGGCATTTTTCTTTTTGTGAACTGCCTTGTTTGGACTTTTCAATTTTCCAATTTCACTGCTAACATCCCACAACAACACTTTGCCATCATTTCCCCCTGTAATAAAGCAATACATTTCTGGCAGAAAGAAAATCTGTGACACTCCTAATAAATGACCTTTAAATGTTACTTCCTGTTCAAATTTGGAACCTGTTACTCGAAAGACTCTGATTTTACCATCTTCGGCTCCACAGCCAAAAACATTGCCACAAGTAGAAACAGACAATGAATGAACCAGTGGTGGGTTAAAGAGTTGGCCAATCCCTTGCTCAACTGCTTCTTCTTGCAGATTCATTATCCATTGTGGGCGAGTTTTTTGCAAGTTCCACATTATAATCTATAAACAAAACAAAAATAATAATTAAGATTTCTTAATACAGAAGTCATGTAAATGTAAACTTTCATTTATACTGTCATGTTCCCCAGAAAACGAAAGTGATGCAGCTCACATAAATTGTTTTAGTTTATAGATCAAAAGCATATGTTGACTTAAATTATATCTAATATAGAATTACTCTCATTTCATTATTTTTGAAATGTATAAACTGCTTCAAAGGGAATTTAATTTTTAAAAATATATTCATTTTATACCAAAAATGTTTTTACTGTATTTACTAGAGGTCTTATATCTGCCAAGTTGATCAAGTATTTTATGCTTATAGTTTTTCCAGCACAGAGGTTACACATAAGCTATGAAAATGTTTAAAACCCATGGGACAAACTTGTAGATGCTGCTTTTCAGGGGCACCATATATGTTATAAAATAGACTCTACCAGAAATTAAGTTGGCTTCTATAGTTTTGTTCTGGAAAAATTATTTTAGAGAGCTTATGATAATTGGAAGGTTTCTTAGTCGTGTAATTTATTTTGTTTTTTTATGGTTGTATTGTCTGCTCTTGTTATAATCACCAAAAGTCTCTTCAATTGAGATAGATGCAATTATGATAAATGAAAATTAAACTGCTACTTTAGTATATTATTTAGATAGCAAAATATGTAAAAACTATTTTTATAAGAGATACAAGTACTATGGTGGAAGATAAGTCTTAACTGCATAATTTTTACATCAAGTTTATTACAGATGGTTCTTGATAAGATCTAATCTCAATCTAATAGTAACTTAGTTGGTTTTTATTCATTCATTCATTTGGAGTTTTCCATTCTCTCTATATCTGTTCCAAAAGATAAAGCAAAAAGTAATCTCATCTGGCAACAATGTCTGTTTTGTTGGCAGTAATTTATCATTGTGTATAAATCCTTTTCTTTCCTTACCTCTCATCCTTAATCAATTTCTATCTTCTGCATCAATCAAAGTAAGGTTTCAGTTGGGAAACAATTCTGATATTGCACTCACTACTTCAGCATTAGATTTAATTGTGCAGCTGATGTTAAGATTATGAGCAAATTACGTAACTTTTAGAAAGAAATTTTAAAAAGTCTGATTCAGTTGACCTATTCTATACCTCTATAGAAAACAATCCATTTTTGAACAATTATGGCAATTGACAATTGCTATAATTATCAGACTCTAAGGCTCAACTGATATATATCATATCTTTGTACCTATCAAATCAATGATATATAGTAAGCTTTCATCTACGGTTAATCACCTTCATATCCAGGCCGCATGAAAGAAGGCTTTGTGGCCTCTGGGGTCGAAATGCAGTAGATGCACAAATATTTGAATGTCGTTGCAGGCAGCGACTCAATTTCTTGCTTTGTAAGTCAATTATCTTTATGGCTCCAGAATCATCTGCAGCAGCCAAGAAGCTGTCTGTTTCGTTTACTGAAAGACAGTTGATCTCTTCCTCATTTACGTGGAAACATTCAACTGGCTCCTTGAGACACCTGGTATCCAGCATGCTAATAATTTCCCCATGAGAAACATAGAGTCTTCTAGAACAAGTGGGAGAAAATATAATGCTAGTGACATCCTCTGCTTTTTGAAGTCGTACACATTCCAGTGGATTTCCTTCAGCATTCCAAATTGTGAGCTCTCCTCCTTCTGCTCCTGAAGCCAATAGACCGTCTTTGCTCACATTTAAGCTAAGTACTGAAGAAGAATGTCCATTGGTCCACTTTTTTGCCATCATATCTCAAGGCAGACTGAAAAAAAAATTGGATCAGCAGGGTAACATTTTGTTTTGATATATATTGAGAAATCAAAAGGCGATTGGATTGTGTTCTTTTTAGATTATCTTACTCAAGTAAAGCACCTACTGGTTTGAACACTTAAACATCTAAATTCCAGTATACTGGCCCTTAAATATAATGCCCTTGCAATCACAATCAATCAACACTAATATTTTCCAATGTAAACTTAATCCTTGGGCACAATGTAAATAGTAGTGTGTATAAAC